ATCCATAGGAAAGTAAAATTATTTCTTTCGATTAATTTCTCTAAGAAATAACAGGGTTAAGTACAGATAATATTTATTTTTTAAACTTAAACACAGCTAAGCAGTATCAATATAATACCCAAAACACGAAATTGAAGATTTTCATTTAACTCTATGCATAACATACCTTTCTGCGCTTAGAAAGAGCATAAAACTGTCGAACCAATCGTCGAATGTCTGCATAACACGACCCATATTTAGCAAATATTAATTTCTTTTTTTTTTTTAATGTTAATTTTTTTTTGCAAAGTTAGACGGATTCGAATAGCAAAGAAATGACAAGAACAAAAATTTATTTAATTTATTGCAATTTGGCTGACCATACAACGCTGTTTCGAGTATTGCCAAGTACTCATTATCAGTGGTCTTAGGAAATATTCGAATTACTTTTTAATTAGTTTAGTGTAGTCCGTATATAATTCGTTTGGACTGCAAGTGCCTGGCTCAGACTCGTGCCTGTCAAATTAGAAGCGATTACAAATCGTGTTTTTTTGCAAGTAGCTAATTAATTTCTTTATTTCACTTTCAATCCAAATTTTGTGAAATTAAAATAGTTATAGAAGAAGTATCTTTCTATAGATATATAGGTTCTAGTATATTTTTTTTTACTTCTAAAAGTATCAAGAAATATTGGTTTTGTAATGGGTTTACTTAATGAAATCAAAAATTAACAATTTAAAGATTAACATATTTATCATATATCTAATATTACTTCTATAATTTATGGTATGAGGATATAATTTTAAAGAAAGTTAATAATAATGATTTGATAATTGAGTCTGTATATGATAATCATTTGAAATCGATAACAGTGCTGTTCATGAATTCTATTATATGTTATCTTTCGACTGACTATAGATTCCTCGAATTGATAATTTGATTTTTGGAAAAATGAAAAAATCAATCAGTGTTCGATAAGATTTGTGAAGTTTTTGTGTAGAAACTCATATACAATGATAGCCTTCAAAAATGTGAGTTTTCTGTCCACAAATCTGGACTTTTTCGAAGAATTTGATACTTCAAACTCCGTATAACACTCAGACAATATTCTTTATTAATTGTCTCATTTTTTGGCAACAGTTTCGAGTGCACAATACTGTTCTAATAAAAAAAACTGTCAACATCACTTCACTTTTGTTCGACTTCAAATTGATTTGACTGCCCTTACGTTTTCGCAGAAAATTTAGATCGCATTAGTCAACCGGTAACACGTAACACACACCCAAATAATCACTTGAAATTGTTCGAATTGGTTGATCAGCCAATATCAGCTCCCAGATTTAAATGTGGATTTTTCGGATCTTTATTTAAGTAATGCTAAGTTCAGTTAAAAATGTAGACAAGTAACTCAATTCTTTAATCACGTCTCCAGGTGGTAATTTAGTTATAAGATTTGATCCACTTATTGTTAGTTTCTAAATTAAAGAGTTAAGTAATAAATAATGATGGAAAAAAAAAACAAATCTCCCGTTCTGAAAAGTATACCATAGCAATTAAAGAGTTAAAATAAGTTGTTTTCAGAAGTCGGGAGATCAATGTGCCGTATCCACTTCTCATACTGATTGTCAAGTGCTGTGGTTGTATGAAAATAGCAATAGTAATAGAAAGTTATTTCTTCAGAATTATTTATAGAGGAATAATTATGCTAACATTTTATGTCATAACAAATTTGTGTGTTGCAAAAATAAGAATTTTAAAATAATAAATATATAATTATAAGGTTTCTTATAAAACCTTCGCAAAACTATATTTTTTTTTATTTAATTTTAACATAATTTCAATTTCATAAAATTTAAAATTAAAATCGTTTAAACTTTCAACCATCCTTTCACCACTGTCACAATTTAACACTGCAGACGCTTTGGAAATTGTTAATATTTTAAGCTTATTTTTCCAGAGCCAATTGATAAACAGATTGAGTAGATTAAGTGTTGTTGACTTCATGTATATGTAATGTTGCAGTTTATTTATTTTTGAGCGCGACGCTTTAACTAGCGATACAACCAATATCTATCCATCGACAGCAATTCATGGCGGGGTTGAACCACTTGCGACATCCACTGCGACACAAACGATTTTTCCTTCGACATACAATTTTTTTGTTCAGTTTTTAATTGATGATTAACTTGAGATTAACAATTTTAGATAAATTTTTTCTAGTAAAATTTATCAATGTTGTTTGTTTGTGTAACTACTTAGCAAAAGCATGGCTTGCAGAGCAGATATTGCAAAAGTTCTTAATTAAGTTCGTTAACATTGATTATTTTAGAGATTATATGGAAAGGATTTAAGCAAGGCGTGGAGATGCTAATCAATACAACGAAGGAAAAGTTATTCCGTAGCGAAGTTTTTGATAAAAAATTTCTTTGTTTGAAATTTCATCGAAAGTTGAAGTTATGTTTAATTCTGTTTTCCATAAGGAGTAAACTAATTTATCTTGTATTTCGTATTACTATTCTAATTTAACAAATATTTGTTTTAAGTTTTGTTATTGCATATTTAAGAAATCGCATAAACAACGAAGGATTTGTGCTGCGCACTCCATATATCCTTTGGAGTTTTATGTTGAGAGTTCTTTATGTGTGTAATAAAATCCATGTTCCTTATCATGTTATGCTTGACATTATCTGCATACAGCACAATACCAACACTTGTACACGCTTCCATACACTTCCAGCGCTACTCAGATACGCATTACCGCACAGTTTGAATTAATAAAGAAGTAAAATTACATCCGAACACATAGACAAGGTGATGCTATTCAATGTGGAGCCGGATGAGAGCGAGTATAATGAGCACTCAGCGGATTTGGCACCTGCTTATGCAGCTGTGATTCCAACGCGGGAAAAGTGTAAAAAACTGCTGACACAAGTACAAGTGGCAAATGCATTACATGAATGTACTGCTTATCTGCATACAAGTAACTGATGAATTCTTAATTATGAACACCAACAGAATTTCTGTAATTTAAATAAAGTTCGTTTTTTTCAATTTGGTTGGAAATATATGAGCGAATTAATGTTAACACGCAAAGTGTTATGTGTTTTTAAGTATTATTTGCTGTCATTACGAAAGATGGCAACTGGTAGCAGAACACTCATCACAGAATATTGATATAGTATAAATATTGCATCACTTCGATCTATTAATAAATTATTAAGATTCTGATTCATGGCTGTAATGATTCGATAAAACAAATAAAATAAACGATCGAAGGAAGGTTTTGTGATACGAATTAAGTGGGGAAGGATATTGAAAAGCTAACATTTAACTACAAACAATAACAAATAATTTTAATAATAAGGTATTGTAGTTTAATTAATCACTATAGACCGGCGGTGTGGGTGTCCCTTCGATACTCACATTAGTCAGGTAAACTGACTGTGTGTACGTACAAAGGTTTTGAATATAGTGGAACAAAGATGGCAGATATGAAATAACATGTCTATTATAAGAAAATAGCAGAGTGATTGAGTTGTTTTGTCTTGATCACTCCGTACTATTCAATTTAGTTGCTATACTGATGGGTATTGTGTTAGGTTAGATAAGGTTATATTCGCGATTTTAAAGATCTACTTAAGCCCATTCGCCCATTGTATTACCATATCAAAAATTCGAAGTTTTAAAACCATTGAACCATTGACAAAGCCAAATATGCTCTATAGAGGTAGGTCTTCGATTTAGACAGTAATAGATAGAAAGATTTTCAATCGTCCTCTTTACAACTTTTGAGCTCTCAGTAGAAATGGTTAGATTCTCTCTGAATGATAAAACTTACGACACCCAATTTAAGAACTAATTGTATAGAAAAATTAAAACTTATTCCTCTAGCATTAGATATGACAAAAAACTAAAGCTCTATACAAAATCTATGAGTCAAAATAAAGACAGAGGGGGAAATCAATTAAGTCAATGGAGAGATTCCATGCAAAATTCTAAGAGTGAAAATGAAGACAAAAAGCAATATTTGATTAATTAATTGTAAAAATTTTATTCAAAATTCTAAGAGTAAAAATAAAGACAACGGGTGAAATCTGATTAAATCTCTAGAAAAAATATATGCAAAATTCTATGAGTGCAAAAATTTAGGCAAAGTGCAATATCTGATTCAGTCTCTCATTACACGAATTATTATTATCTGTTTAAGTAGAAGGTAAAACCTCAGCATCTGAGGCTGAAGAAGAAAATTTACTCATCTACTATGTTACTTTCCTTTCACTATATGCTACCTTAATTTTTATATCACCAGCATATGAAAATATGATAGAATAGAATAAAATAGAAGTAAACAGGGAACCGGCTCCTGATGGTGTGGAGCACCGCGACCATAGTTGATCTTTTGTGCTGCTACAGATCCTAACTGAACAGAAGACATTCCACCCTTCGAATGAAAGCCAAAAACTCAGCCGTTAAGGATCTCCTAATGTTAAAAGGGAAAAGTAATTCTCTACCCAGTGATCTCCTCCTGACCCAGATCATAAATATTTATCTTTTCTAGTTTATGGATATACAGCCTTAAACAAAAATTGACTTAAAATTTCAAATAGATGTTGAAATTGAAATCGATTAAAAAATCGATTCTATTAATAATTTTAAATGAGCTACAAGTTATTACAATATGAATTGACGTTACTGAAGAGTCAATAAGGTTTAGCAGATTTCGTTATTGCTTATTAGTCAATTTTATCGAATATACTTTAGTACATAATAAAATTAAATATTCTATATAACTGATAAAGTCAACTTAACTGCTTAGTATAATTTTCCAATTATCGAACGTAAATTAGTTACCTGCTCAAAGACAGCATTATAGCGACTACTCGTATATGTGCAAATTTGATTATGTTCACCCTATTAATTACGAATAAAATTGATTAATATACGAAACTTCATAACATTTGAAAGCACTTTCAATGCGACCTCTATTAATCTCATTATTATTATTATTATTATTTTGACAGTTGCACGCACTCCGACGTCTCATGCAAGGAAGTCCGGATCATCCTAAAGCACCACTAGGTAACAATTACCGACCGCCACAGTTATTGCAGCATCGGTCCATACGCACAAATATCGACTTCAAGGCGAAGAAAGTGAATGGCAAAGCAGCTTGTCCTACAATGTATCGCGAAGTTTACTACAAAGGTAAATTGACAGATTTAATGCAAAGTGCATTTATGCAACAATTTAACCGAAATTCGTAGTATGTGACATATACTAAATGCATAACATTGTCACATGTTATGCATTTACCACATCACATATTTTACCATACATATAGAATATATACGCATATATAAATTATTTCCCTACTAATACTGAAATGTAATTTCAAAATTTCCTAATTTATAGCCACAAGTTGGAAACAACATTGAAGTCAAAGGACATAAATAAAATCAAATAAACTTAGGCTGAAGGCAAAGCATACGTCAGCGTGTAACAGGAGCTTCCATTAAACTTAAATTACTTGTAATGTAATTTGTATTAGCGTTCTTAGAAGTAGTTAAATTCATTTCTCCTCTTTTTTTTTTGAGACTCCATTAGACGAGTCTGAATGTAGCGCAATGTAATTTATAATTTGAATATATATATATAAATATAGTAGAAATGTTAAGAGAACAAGAAGACAATTAAGTACTTAGTATATATAAAGAATGATATATCAAAAAAGTTTGTAAAAAGCATATCTATCATTAAAACTATACATTTAGTACATATAGAAAATTATTAATACCATATTATATATATAATATGTATAAATTTAATTAACTTTATATTACATATATATTATTTTTGTGGAATACTAGTAGCTCTAACAAAATGTGTAAACTTGTAAAAAGTAATTATATTGAAAAAAATTTAAAAATTGAATAAATTAAATTAAAAACTTTATATAAAAATAAGCAACAACTTTAATATACGTAATAAAAATAATAATTTTTTTTTTTAAATGAAATATTTCAAACTAAGCATTTCAGAACAAAACAACCCACCATAAATGAACTATGCAAATTTTCAATAATAAATATTATATTCATTAATATAAAATATCATTCTTAAATATTAATTTGTTAGTCAAAATATAATAGTTGCTTGCTTAGCAGTAAGTATTTCTATTTTGATTATAAACTTTATTAGTTTTCTAAATTCTTTTTTTTTTTTGCAACATAAGTTTATATAATTCCATAAGCTAAAATGCATGATTACTTACTTCATTTATCACAAAAGCTATATCGATTCATAAATTCTTGATATCACTGCCTACCAATTATTTAAGAGCTTAAAAATATTTTCTGCTGCCACACTTGCCTAGAAAACTTATATAGAATAATTTTGTGTCAATAATTCAATAACTACTAAAAACTTTTTCTAAGCTTGTACTAAGATTTTTGACTGTCATATATTCGATATAAAAACTGCACATATTTTAATTAATCACAGCTAAATAATATTGATGTATTCTTAATGTTAATGTTAAATAATCATACATCACCTGAACTAATTTTTTTGAAAAAACTTTCAATGAATTTTGTAATTAATATTATATGTGGGTCTGTTGATATCGCATTGGTTGCTGATTAATTTTATAAGTACTTCACATAGTTGCTCATTGCAAACGGGAACCATTCGTGGATGCGTCCAGTAACATTCGCTAGCCAGCCTGTTTAGTACCTTGCTGTATCTTATTGGTAGTACTGAATGGTTTTATATCAAAAGTAACGTAATCATTCTATCGAAGAAGCAGACGTCCCGTACAGCGTTTTCGTCTAGCAGGTGTCGAATTAAACACAGAGCATTTTCTACCATTCGCACCACATAACCAATTCAGGACAGCCTTTGAATTTTTATGGTCATTTAAAAATCAAAACATTTTTATGCAACTCAGACCATTAATTTTCAGATTACAGATCTCAAACAGGTCAAAGTTTATAATAAGTTGTCGAAATGCCAACAGACAATTTAATTTACTAACATACCATATTATACATCGATCAAAGTTTTAGATAAGAACCATCTGTAAAGAATATTCTGCATTTTGAGTTGTGTCCATTATATCTTCTGTTGACAAATTCGTAATACCAGGCGATATTATTTCATGGTCTATATATATATATAAAAGGTATATAACACAACATTTCAGTATTTAGCTTGAACTGGATACTGTAATTTCGACCTGATTTGACCTTACAATAACTTATGACGTTAATGTGTTATCTTAATTTGAATCCAATAAAATCTTAGACCATATATGAGTTATTGCATAAATAATATTATATATGTAGCAAATGTAAAATGTAAAAATGTAGTGTTCGAGTTACAGCTACAAGTGAAGAAATATTTTAAAATAACCTCTTAAGAGAATGATCATATAATAAACATATTTCATAACATGTGAAGAAAAATTTCAAATTTTTCTAACTGTGTGTGTAAACAAAACTAATCAAATTATTCCAAATATCGCTTTTAATTTGACGTGAATTAGTTATATTTTGGACCCGTCATGTATTTACTCATATTGGTTAAAGTCCATTTTCTGTTGACTGTAGTCAGTACAATAATAGAATGATTTCATAATATAACATATTTTTCAATGTAGCAATCATGACAATAAAAATTAAATATCTCAATCAATCAATTTATGCTTAAATGCTTAATATTTCATTAAATTTTCTACATATAAATGCAATTAATAATTGAAAAAATTTTTAAGAACATTTATATAAAATCGTAAAATTTTTTATAAATTTTAATTTCGTAAATGTTTTTATCGATTTAATTGGAAGCCTAATGGATACAAAAATAATAAACAATAAAATAATTGTTACATTCTCATAGGACATACAATTTTATAGGTATTTTAAACAACACAATAAAAATGTTTATAACCTTTTAAAAAATATTAGTATAGAAAATTTTAACGATATATTTGAAAATTTCCGAATATGTGTTTAATTTTTCTTTTCTTCTAAATTTAATTACTAAAAGCTGTAAACTATTTAAAACTTTTTTGTATAAATCTTTAATTGAATTAATTTAACAAACTGTAACAACAACAGTTAAAAATTACGAACATATTTTTTTGAGTGTTAAAATTGAGTTGAATCATCACAAAAAAATTTTCAACAAGTATGAAAAATATAGTTTATAATTTATTAATGGAGAAATTAGTTTCCTCCATGGCGTATACGTGCTGCAGCTTAAGTAATAACACATAAAGTTGTAAAATTCAAGTACATGCGCATGTACATATATATGTATATATAAGGTACATTTGTATATGTTATATAAACTTCATAGTTTGCTAAAAATTATTGTATTTGTTATTTTTGTCAAAAAGCTCTTTATGGAGAAGTACACTTAAGCGCTGCTAACGCTCGTTGAAACAAACCAACATGGCAATACTGTGGCGGATATGTAGAAAAAATATTAATATCCTTTCAATATTGTGGTATTATGGTATCAAGTTGTGAGCTACTAACCGCAAATCAGCTCATGTAAAGCACAGATTTAAAAAAATATATTTTTTATAACGAAAAAAAATATTTTTAACTGCATATATTTATTCTACTAACTTCATTAAATTTTATTAAATTATGGTTTGTTTTAATTAAGTGTTGCCTTTGTGCAAATAAAGCAGAGTTAAGCTCTTAACAAAATATTAAAACTTTATTTATTTGTTTACTTTAAATTATTTCAATATTATTTTTATGGCGGACTTTCCAGTAGACTTTTTAATAAATTTGAAGTTTTATATTAGTTGCAACTATAAATTTTAATTGTTTTATTATTTAGTTTTTATAAATAATTTTAATTGAATTTAATTTGAATTTATTTGTGAAAATAGCCATTCAAGTTTTTTTTTTGTTTGTTGCAGTATACTAAATTAAAATAAATAGTTTTAGTTTTTTTTTGCAAAAAAAAAATATTTCAACAGAAAAAATTTGTTTTAAATATTGGCAATGAAATCTTTGATATCATTTTTGTTTAATGATTAAATATTTTTTTAATATTTCTAAAATAAAATCATTCATAACTGAACTTAAAGTTTTTTTTTATCGATATTTTAACTTTTTTCATTTGTTTTTTAAATAATTTTTAAATTTTTCTACTATAAAATTCAAATAGCATTAAAATAAAAGATTTTTGTTGATGTTTGAACATTTTAAAATATATATTATTTAACTATACTCAAAACCAATGTAAATAAATAAGGAAGAAGTAGTCCGATTCATATTAATAACTTTTTACAATTTCAAAATTTCAAAGACCGTGTCTAGAAAAATCTATCTATCAAAAATACTTAATGTAGTTCTTCATAGACAATTTAAAAGAGTGATCGAAAAATTGGTGCAGTGTCTCTGGAGCAGAGTATGTTATTAATTAGAAATGTAATAATTTTTTATAAATTTATTACATGATGCAATTACCATATATATTCCAGAATAGTTATGTGTATTTATGTATTTTTTAGAAATTTGGCATCGATATGATGTGTTTAAAACGGAAG